CAAATAAAATGACTTAAAGTTGATTTTTATTTTTCCATATACTTTTTTGACAAACGACGTATAATTGGGAACAACGTAAGTCGAGGTATACCTGTAAGTTGTTTCCTCTTTATTTCTTCCAAAATCGTCTCCTTTAATCCCATTAGGTCTTTGATTCTCTCATTAGTTATTCTTTCTCTTTGAGAATCTGTATGATCTTCTCAATGCATCCATTTCAACCATTTAAACCTGAATCTACTCTGCTTTTTTTTTTCTTTTGTTTGATATTCTTCTTTGATTAGATCTATTATTATCCATCCATTTAATCTATTAAATGTTGCCGTTACTGTAATTCCTCGATAGTTCTCACATTTTTTATAGATAATGTCAAAAAGCCAATTTTCCATTCTTTTGGAATGTCTTCTCCATTAAGACACCATTTGAATAATTTTGTTGTCATTCTAAATAATTTTTCTGTTCCATTTTTTATCAGTTTTGCTGGTATTCCTCCAGGACCGCTTGCTCTATTATTTTTTAGTTTCTTACATGCTTGTTTAATCTGTTTTGTCTCTAAATGAATTGATATATCCTTTTCTATGTTTATAGCTCCTGTCATAAATTGAATTCTATCTTCTGTTAATAAATTTTTATAATATTCTTCCCATTGTTTAATTGAGATAAACTGTCCTTTATTACTATTACTTTAATTTCTAATATTTTTTAGGAATTTCCATGCTTCAGTGCATTTTCTTCCTCCTATATNTCTATCTTCTGTTAATAAATTTTTATAATATTCTTCCCATTGTTTAATTGAGATAAACTGTCCTTTATTACTATTACTTTAATTTCTAATATTTTTTAGGAATTTCCATGCTTCAGTGCATTTTCTTCCTCCTATATATGTTTCTATTTCTCTACAGTTTCTGTCCTAACCTAATCTTTTCTTTTTCAAAATTAATTTCTTTTGTTGATTTTCTAAGTTCTTTATATCTTATTTTATCCTCTTCTTTTTTAGTGTTTAACTATTTTAAGTAAGTTACCTTTTTTTGTTGTATCATGTAAAAACATGATACAACAAAAAAGGTTTGTCCTCTTTGTCCCACCAGAATTTTTTAAAAGTTTTTTCATGTTCTTTGATTTGTCCTAGAGCTTCATTTGCTGCTTCATGTAGTTCTGTTTTTATGTTTTCATATAATTCTATAGTGTTATCATATTCTTTTTCTTTCAATTTTTGATCTAATCTTGTCTGAAACAGTCTTCTCGTACTTTCTTCTGCTAAGCTTTCAAGATTAAATTTAAGATCTTTGATTACTTCCATTTCTGTTCTTTCTTCTTTCTGTGTCTGTATTAATCTTCTGTAAGGAATAATGATTTTTGCTCTTACTAGATAATGGTCTGTGCCACAGGTAACACCTCTCTGTGTTACCTGTGGCTCAGACCATTATCTAGTAACCAACATCTAAAATTTTAATTTTGGCTCTTTGCTTCCTAATACCATAGTCAATGATTGATTTCCGCTGCCTAGTATTTTGAATGCAAATACATTTATGAATATCGTTATATTTAAAAAACCCGTTATTGACTTTAAAATGATTTTTATTACAAAAGTCTATTAGTCTTCTTCTTCCATTGTCATTCATTACATTTTCTCTGAATTGTCCAATAATTTTGTTATTTCTCAATGATCCTGTTCTTGCATTGAAATCACTCAATAACATTATTTCTCTTGTCTCTCCAGTTTCATCTATCACCTCTTGCATCTTGTTGTAGAACAAATCTTTACCTTCATGGGTTTCATCCTCATTTGATTTGGTGCATAAATAGTAATTCCAATGATAGTAATTCGTCTTCCAAAAATATTTAGATTAACTTTCATCATTCTTTCATCTATTGTTTCAAAGTTGGTAATATTTCTCTTAAATTTCTTTTTTATCATCATGGATACACCACATTTTGCTTTTTATTCTTTTCGTACACCAGTGTAAATATGCATATAGTCTTCCAGTTCTTCTATTCCTGACTCTTTCCTTTTTGTTTCTGTTAAGATCACAAAGTCAATTTTCATTCTTTTTATTTCTTTAACTATCTCTTGTCCCTTTGATCTGATTCTTTGTACATTCCATGTAGCAAAATTCATTGTCTGTTTACCTTGTCTTATTCGTTTACCATATAATTCATCCATTTCATTTTCCTGGAGCATTCTGTTGCGATGTGATTTTTATTTTTTGTAGGAGATAGGGTGCATGCTATCAAAAAAATGGTTTCTTATTCAAACCTTTTGTATTCAAACTCAATAACCTTATTTTTAAATTTAAATTTTTCACTAAGTATAAAAATTTTGAAATACAGTGGGTGATCGGTTAACGAACATAATCCGTTCCAAGACTTTGTTCGCTATCCGAATTGTTCGGTAACCGATTATCGATTTACGATAGGTTTCTATGGGAATTTGATTAATTGGTTCTGGAGACCCCCCAAAATAAAAAAATATATACTTTTTAACTACCTTTATTTATATGTATTGATGATAATAAAAATACATACATACATAGTCTTGCGTTTTTATTAGTCGTGTTTTTTTTCTGTTTGAAAGGGTTAAAGAATCTGTCTAATGTCGATTGCTTTTCTCTCTTCTTCAGGATTTTTCGTAAGTAATTAATAGCATTGCAATTGCAGAAATCCCCAAGCCTTAACCTGGTTTGGATGCCATTCTAAGACCGTTGTTCTGACATCCTCCCACTTCTTCAAAGGATCTTTAATATAAGATATTGGCATTAATCCTCTTTTTCAGAAGAAAACATATCTTGCTGAGTTTCTTGGTGTTCTTCATTCAAGAGTTCTTGGCGTTCTTCTGTCGTCAGATCCATTTCGTGTTCCATTATGAACTGTTCGATATTCTTTATTTCTCAGATGTGATTTTTGTTACTCCTTTAGCTGCTTGAATCTTCTTGATTATACAGTATGTTTCTTAAATAAGATTGAACTTCAGCCTACTGTAGACCTGTTTACGCCATACTGCCCAGCAACATTAGGCATCTTCTGCCCACTCTCTACCTTTGCTATTATACTCTCACTTTTTGAAAATAAAAAAAACAGATGCAAAACTTAACGAGTGCTTACCCGACAGTCTCGCGAATACATAAAATAATTGTTTTGTCAGAAAAATAAAAGGCTGGAATTACAAGGGAGAGTTTCAAAGTTCGGAGGAATAATATCCGATCGGTATATATCGGCTTGAGCGTCGATGTCGACGTCTCCCACACTCCGAAAAATTTCGAATTGTTGCCCGAAGACAAGGGAAGACCATTGGTATTCATTAATTTACGTTGCTTCTTCTTGTGTTTGTTCTGTGGGGTGTTCGTTATCCGATCATGTGTTCGTTGTCCGAACATAAAAATCTTTCGTGAAAGTGTTCGTTATCCGATTTGTTCGTTATGCGATCTGTTCGTTAACCGATCACCCACTGTATTTGAAATCTTATTAAATTTTATTAACTTCCTCACAAAGTAGGAGTGTGCGAATTTTTTACTTGTAGCATATATTGAGTTAATCTTGTTTAATAATATGTAACTGAATTAGAAAGTAAGTTCATAAGTCCTGTTATTCAAGATACAAAACTTGCCAAAATCAACTTTTCAAAATATGTACAGTACAATAGAGTTCTGTTTTCATGTTGTGATTAAAAATATCTGTTAAAAAAAGCACAGCTGTAGCCATTCAACATGGCTGACCTGCTTGGAAACCTAGTCTCAAATATCATTAAAAAGGTTATGTAAGGTCATATAAAAGCATCTGGTTTTCATAATGATATGATTCTTTCTTGAAATGTCCAACCACGAATGGCATAGAGACTCAAAGCTTTAGACTGTACTCCTTATAGGCCAGACTTAACATAGATAAATTTGAAAAAATAGATAAAAATTTTTATCTGTTTTCCATCTTGAAGGAGCAGTTGCCAAGATAAAAACATCGCTAACTTTCAATGATGTCAAATATGTCTAATCTGGCTGTTCTGTATTGTGAATTTGTGGTATACAAAATTATCAAATGATGAAACAAATATCTACTTATCAAAGGCATCAGCATACTTTTTAACACATGAAACACTACTAATTTTAAACAGAATGGTGCTCAGCAAATAATTACATAATCATAACGCTTTTTACCAAGGTAGTTTTATTGAAAACTAACGTTTTTGGCGTATTCTATAGGCCATCCTCAGGTTGAATTAGAGAATTGGAACATCTGCATTCCAAAAATGGAATACATATATTTAAATTCAAAACTTGACAACATATAAAAATAAAAAAATAACAGAAGACTAATTTATAAAATATAAATATAAAATANGATGGGGAGATTAACGTCGCGACATGCTTCTGTGCAAGCAGACACGTAACGGGGACGGGTACCTTGACGGGACGTGCGTCGGACTACTGAGCATGTCGGATTAAAAAACGTCGGACTATCAAGGGAGAGCTGTACATATATTTAAAAAACGTACAAAAACAAGAAAATAACAGAAGAATAATGTATAAAAATATAAATATAAAATAAAAAACAAACTTAGATATAGTAATAAATCTGAGTTTGTTCTTGTATATTAGTTTTCAATAACACTACCTCGACAATGTAAAAGGTGTGTTATTTTTTCAGATAAAAACTAAGAATAATTTTGACAGTTTTGATGAAAGTTTTTAAAAAGAGCAATTAGGGAAAAAATATAAAATAAAAAACAAACTCAGATATAGTAATAAATCTGAGTTTGTTCTTGTATATTAGTTTTCAATAACACTACCTCGACAATGTAAAAGGTGTGTTATGTTTATCATTGTACTGATGCCTTTATCTTGACAACTGCTCTTTCAAGATGTTTCATTATTTACTGACATATTACAAAACTGTTTGATCAACTTGCTGTAGTTGTTTTTATAATTTTTTGTACAGCTTTAAAAACAATTTAAAATATAATTTTACTGTTGACTTTTATAATATATTTATGTAAAAAAATTTTTTTTCAGTTACTCTAAAACAAAGGACTCTCAATCCAAATATTCAGAGGTTACGTTTTGGACATGCCCGACATCTTCTTTCGACTTCTAGAATTAGAAAGATTAGACTTCGTTGCCATCAACAAATAAAACAGTCTAAATTTACTCAACCTGAAACAAAATATCCAAATGGTGATCGAGACGATGGTGATAGTAACGATATTAGCTTTTTTGTGCATGCTACAAATGAAAATCTCGTTAAATGGAATGAAGGGGTAAAATGTCTGCATTGCAGTTATGTTGCACGAAGTACTATGCGATTAGAAGAACATGTTTCCAGTGCTCATGCTAAAGATATTATTTACAAATGTAGATTGTGTGATTTTACATGCAAGTGGAATAGAGAATACTATCAGCATATGAAAACACATTTCTTGGGTCCACCGTTTCGATGTGATTCTTGCGATTACACATGTGATCGTATTCAGCTTTTGTTATCGCATCGAATGAGACACACCGACGAAAGACCATTCAAGTGTGAAGACTGTGATTATTCTTGTCGAACTAAAGCAAATTTGGCTGTTCATGCTCGTTGCCATACTGGAGAAAAGCCTTATAGGTGTGAACACTGTGGACGTTGCTTTGCTGTTAAGGGAACCCTTGACCAGCATTTAGCTACTCATAGTAATGATCGCCCCTTTCTATGTGATATTTGTGGTTTTTCTACCAAATATCAGTCTCATTTAGTTTCTCATAGACGCATTCATTCAGGAGATGTATTTCATTGTCAGCATCCTAACTGTAATTACTCTACACCTAAACGTAGTCAACTATCCTCTCATATGAGAACACACACGGCAGTACGTTCTCATATATGCTCAACATGCGGAAGAGGTTTTATTGAAAAAAGCCATTTAGTGAGACACGAAAGAATTCATCTGAACGAAAAGCCTTTCAAATGCGAAGAATGTGATTACAGCAGCACCAGAAGAGATAAATTGAAGGAACACATTCGAAAACATCACGGAGTGAATGCAACTGCCCGTGCCCCATATAAACCTCGTAAGCCTCGCCGTCAAAACTTAATTTCAACTTGTTACCCAACAAATTTTCCAACAGATAATTCTTTATATCAATCACAACATGCCTTAAATCACTGCAAACAAGAAATGACAAGAGGGGATAGTTGCAATATTGCTACGAGCATATATAATTTTGCCCATGCTGCACCACATGGAAGAACAGATCCTACAGACCGTATCTCTAGTGTGCTGCATCAGTCTAACAGTACTGTTGATCCTCACGTACTTCATCCCGAACAAAGGTTATTACACAATAGTCAATTGCCTGTCGCTTCGAATCTTAATGCAGGAAACATAATGGACATCGGAAGCGGATTACACCAACCTGCCCAGTTCGGCGGGCTTGGTTCCTTTATGTCAATGTTTTAATTTCTTGTTATTTTTCTTTAATCGCACCATTCTATTTTTACATATATTTTTGCAATTACTAAAATATTGTAACAATCAATTTTCTGTGATTTATCGACTCAAACGCTTGCTGGTAAGTACTTCAACAATCAAATCTCGATTTTTGAATTTCAAATTTAGCATGTTTTCGTCTTTAAACAAAATAGATATTTTGATCTATATCACGTAGTATTTTTGTGAAAGTATAATAATCTAACAATAACATTTTATTTTCATTAATGTTTTGAGTACAAACTTCTATATATAAACACATGCATACACATACACACACCTACACACACATCTACACACACACACACACACACACACACACACACACACACACACACAACATACACTATAAATACATATATATATATCAGTTTGTATTCACATATTTTTCCCTAATCTGAAATTTTGAAAGTTTATCATGTCAATATAATGTAATTAGAAAGACATAATTATCGAAAAGTGATAAATTTTTGCCAAAAATATTAAACCAGTGAACAATATGCTTTACCTTTTCTTTTCTCATTTTTAACTCTGTTACCATCATTTTTTAAAATTAGCAAAAAATTTAAAACACGTTTTAGAAATCAAAAATTTTTTTGTAATTTATAAGGTGTAAGAACTCGACATTTTTTTGAAGCTTAAACAACTAATATCACATTTAAGAAGGAAGAAAAAAGATAAAATTTAAATGCTCATGGATATATTTATTTGTTATTATCTTGTTCAAATTTTTCAGATTTCTAGTGCATGTTTCCAACGTGAAAATCTCAGTGAACGTTTCATCACTATAATATATCTGTACATATTTAATTTCAGTATAACAAAACAAAACAAGCTTCATTTATTATTATGAGAAGAAAAAATAATGTTAATAAGAAAATTAATTGTTGAGCGTTACGTTCTTTGAATCCAAGACGTATTTATGAATTTTTAAAAATTACAACTTTAAAAAGTTATTATTCTTGACAGATTATTTGATTATTTCATTTAAAAAAAAAAAAAAGAATTAAAAAATTAACAAGTTGTTGAATATATTTGCAATGGATGTTTGTTTTTGATATTCATATTGTATGTGTATTCTTAAAATTTGTCTTTTCTTTTTTGTTAATATACTAAAAGTATATATATATAAATACCTTATAAAAAATATATATATATATTTTAGAATTTTTATTTGTAATTTAACTTGCATTTGTTTTTTTTATAAGTTTGTGCTTTTGTTAAGAATTATGAACCATATTTTAAAATTTTAGTTATTGGCTCAGTCTATGTTGTCATATAGTAAACAATTTCATATATATTTTTACAATATGTAATGTTCTAACATGTTCCAATAAATAATACTCTATCCAAATGTTGGATTTTTTCTCTTTATGAATATATAAGTTTATGATGTTAGTAATCAAAATTTAATTTAACTAGAGAGTTTGCTTGGTTTCAGCTGTAAAGCTTGGATTTACATTGAAAATATTGGATTGTGAGCCATTGTGGAGAATGGTGTTAAAAATTATGACATTCATCATAAGGTCCATGATGAATGTTATAAATTTCATCACAATTAAGTTGATATCATTAGATGGTTTCATATTGCTAATACATCCAGTATTCAGTAAAGTGAACTGACCAAATTCATCTTCCAAGCTGTTGTCACCATTACCATCATGAAATCTCTCAAGTGTTGTAATTGGACCAAACATTTCTGTACAAATTAAGTATGAACTATTCAGTAAATTTTGTTTCTTGTTATACTATAGTATAATTTGAAGTTACTCTCATTGGAAATACTTTCAGGTTGCTATTCAGTTGACTTGAATAATCACTTTGTTCTTTTAACTTGCTTTTGTTTTATTTTATTTATATTTTATGTAATATATTGCTTCTTATAAGTGTAACTTTACTTCGTACAGTTACATTACCGATGTCTTGTACCAGTAAGAACAGTGATACGAGTTTAGAGGAATATTTTCTGTTGCAATTAGTTTGATTTGTCAACAGTTTAAATCAGTAGTGAAATATCTGAATTACTAATATTGGTTCTAAACTCTAAATAAGTTCTTAAACACTACAAAAAATTATCTTTAATACTTTTTTGTTTTTATTATTCTATTCTGTCTGAATGATATACTTTTGTTTTTAATTATTATATTGATTATTTTGTGTAAACATGAAAATACAGGTAATAGGTAATATAATTGAGATGACAAGGGATTAATAGGTGAAGACGCAAGTGGATTGGCTTTAATCATGACAACTAACCTCTAAATTTTGGGATTATTTTTGGGAGGGAAAAGTTTATTCTGTGTACACTATTCTTTATACTAGGAGTGTCAAACTGATGTAAAGAGCTATTTTTGGTTATACCACTGCACTTTGAACCTCACAAATTGAAATAATAAAAATACAGGATGATTATGAAGTCTCAATCCATTTTTGTGAAAATGATAACAAAAATTATTTGTTCAGAAGTTATGTGAAGCATGCTGATTCAAGATAAGAAAACTGCTTCTATTTGTGCATGTTTTAGTGCATTAACATACACAGCAGTACAGGCAAACTTCATCCAGAAATTCAGGAAGTTTGCTCCTACCAATGCAAATATAAGACTGCTGGTTACCAAATTCAGGTGAACAAGTAATGTACACAATGCACAACATTCCAGGAGATCCACCTTACCAGATGAAACAGTTTAATTAATCTTAAAAAGTGCAATAACATGGAGTCTACCTCATCAACCAGAAGACTAAAGCCATGGACACACCATGCAATTTCCAGCTGTGCAGGCGACCGCAACTGCAACAAGTGCTAGTCATGTGCTTCTCATGGTTACGCATTGTTCGCTAGCTTTGCAACTTGGAAATACGTGACCTCGTAATCTATATATATATAAAAATGGACGTGTGTGTCCCTATATTTCACTTTTCAGCCAAAACTACACATCGCACATGAATGGTGTTTGTATGTCTCCCAAGTCTCCCATCATGCACTATGGTGGTTGCGTCTCGATAGCTATAAGGGTGCGGGAGATATGGGGGCTTAAAGTGGTTTACTTCAAAGATTTTCTATTTCAATTTTAAAAATGTTCGAACCGTTTTAGATTCAAATTTGTATTCGAATTGGTTAGATTATAGAACGATTATAAACGTTCCAGAAAATTGATCAAATTGAATATAGTTCGTTTGACTGGACGTAAAAAATCTCTAGTTAGTCTGGAAACGGGGGACCTAATTCTTGCATTCTGTGCTATAAGGATGTGGGAGATATGGGGCTGAAAGTGGTTGACTTCGAAGATGTGTAACAATGGAAGTGTCAACAATAGAAGTGTTAACAGTGGAAGTGTTGAGTAACAAAGAAAGTGTTAATATAAAGCAGCATGCAAGATTTACAGGCGGTTTTTTGCGGGAAATCGAACATATAGATCCCCCTATAAAACCGTTTCCTATAGTTATGATTCCTATAAAAATTGTGGCAGTATCCGTAAACAACGGTAAAAATAACTCCTATAATACGTAAAACGTCATCGGGCAGCCGAACTACTTTCCCGCCGTCCGTAGCGCCACGCTACGGACGTTTAGGCGGATAAATTGAGTTTAGTATCGTCTGTTCATATAATTATATATAAATTAGGTACTGTACATATAATTATATATTAATTATATATAAATTAGGTACTGTATATATAATTATATATTAACTTAATTTATTGTAACTTTATTATAATTAAATATATATTTTTCGCCGTCTAGCGTCACGCTACGGCGAGTTAGGCGACCTATCGTCTGTCCAGTACTGTAATTTTATACATTTCTTGTGAAAGAAACATTTCTTATTTAACGGCCATAAAAATTATTTATATTAAGGATGTCTCCAAAGGTCAACGAAGTTTTCGCAGAAAAATAATATCAGAAATCGCGGCCGCGGTTTGATGCGCTGTTCCGCGACGAAACCAAGCTTTAGCAACGGGCGTAGTCGAACGGTACACACTCGGTAAGCAATCCTACAATTTTTTGTTTATAACGTAGTTTATACGGATTATTTTCAAAAAAATATACGTATTTTGGAAATGTTGAGTCGAATTAGTCTAGAATCGATTAATTTTATGAAAGAAAACCTTTCAAACAGCTGTAGTCCGTAAACTATGATTCCTACAAAATTGATTCATAAAGAACGGAACGTATCTACCGTCTTATAGGGGGATCTACTGTATATAGACTCATGTAAAAATTCTCTAATTAGTCTGGAAACGGGGGACCTAATTCTTGCATTCTGTGAAAACGGGTAAGGTTGGCTATAGTGTAATTATCTTAATCTTCACTATTGTTACTTTTTGCCCAGAGAAGCGGGTCCTTGCAGCTAGATTCTAGATTACTTAGAAAAACAATCTTTTATATATTACATACTATATTACATACAAATAAAAACCCAGCAAAGTGGGTCCTTGCAGCTAGTAAACCAATAAAATGAAATTAGTAGCTTGTTTTTGACTACTATTGTGAATTTACCAACAGTTTACACTCTACTTCAGAGTATTTATGGAATTTTAGCCACTTTTCTTATTAAAATGGCAAGCAGTTTCTTTTCTGCAATGAATAAAAGAAAAAAGTGATCATTTTGTTAGAGCTTGAAAGAATACACAGATAAAATGTTCATTAAAACAAAGAATTAAAATTCCACAGGTATTCGTGAGCATGAATAAGCTCAATCAATCTAGATTCTGTAAAAGTATCAATCCTCTTACTTTCCACCATAATGATGAACTATTTTCAATGTTGCTACCATATGGCGTGGCACAAAGGCATTTGCTGATTGGATGCAAATTTTCAATTAGCACGAGTAGGAAAAACTTTTTTTTCTAGTTTCGTTTGCAGTCATGCCAATTTTCAAAGGGGGATTACTAGATAATGAGAACAGCCATTGCAATTGCAGTTGCCTGCATGACTGAAAATGCAAGGTGTGACCATGGCTTAAGCCGAGTGTTCACTGTGTCACAATTATGTCTCCAAATGTGGGAGATCCTTCATTACAAACCATAAAATGAGCCCAGCATGTCCAAGTGTTATGTAAGCTGGAGGAGGAGAAAGAGGATTATGACACCCAGGGGTGCCTGTATATGGGGGCACGGCATGTGTCCATATACACACCCCCTTTTGTTGTCAGGGTTGCACTTTTCTTAATCCCAAAGGGAGCTCTAAGGTTTTATTCTATTTTTAAATTAGTTACTCATTTTTATCACAGGAAACTTTTTATTAATGACAAAATTAAAATAAAAATATTTTGTTGTTAACTGAAAATTGTTCTAGCAGGTGGTGATCATTTGGTCAGATACTAAGGAAGGTACCACTGTATTTGATTAACATGACTTTGATATATGCAATAGTATTGAGGGATGCCTGCATATATATATATTTTAATTTTATATACTGTATCTGTACATATGATGATCTTTTTTTTTTTTTGTAGTCTGCAGGTGCTACTGATGCCACTCATCAAGCAATATGTCAAATCTCTTGAAGACTGCAGTACAAAAAGATTTAACTGTACTTTCATGTATGTTAATCCACTCAAACATATGCAAACCACAGTGATTATTTTTTATTGGGTCAGCATGCTTCACACAACTTGCAAACACTTTGTTATCATTTTTACAAAAATGGATCAAGACTATAATTACCCTGTAATACTTGGCTTTCCATGGGCCATATTTGACACTCTTGTCTAGCCATATTTCAAAACTTCTTGTTCCGAGTCTGCACTTTAAGCAAGAAGTTTTGGCATGCCCTAGATTTGTTAATCAATGCATAAGTTTTGCACCCATTTTCTCTCACTGCCCCATATGAGTGCATAGTTTGATTGTATCTAGACCAGGCAGTGCCTTTAGATAACAATAAACTTTATAAAAAAATATTAAAAGAATTCCAAGAATCTTGAATACTGTATTGTTTAAAAAATATATATATATAACTTGTAGAATGAATTTAAATTAATTGTCTTTAGTCAAACTTCATAATTTAATAACTTAAAAAAAATTTATTTAAATGTAAGTTCAATAGAGATAGATTTATTCCCTATACAGAACTTTATTGTTGTAATTTATTTTAAGGTGTTTACTGGATTGTCAACTTTGTGAATTTTACAAATTTCATTGTATAATTATAGCTTGGAATGTTCTTAATTTTTTAACATATTAAACCATGATTAAATTCAATTTAGTTAAGTTAAAATTTTAAATTAAAAGAAGCTATTAAAATAAATTTTTTCCTGTCCTGTGCCATTAAGAGGGTCTTTTACCATGTCCTTTCATAGGTTTAGCCAGGTCCACAATTGGTCAACCAGGTGGTGAGGAAGACATACTAGGGCCTGACATATCCAGGTCTCACTGCCCATAAAAAATTACTGGAGAGTTGTTTGCCTGGGTTCAATCCAGGATCATAAGACCAATGATGTCTTAATTAACTGCCTTGGTCACTACTACTGGTAGTTATGTCAGAAATGATTTTTTTGAAGCCTAACATAACTTGTTTATTTTGGTATATGTAACACTTGGGTGTAACACAACTGATTTTGTGATGTGTGTAACTCTTGATATCCAATAATTTGCTTAACTGGAGTTGTAGGTACCAGGATTATTGGGTATTGGTAATATCTCTAGAAGCATATAGTGACACCCTGGATATCACTGTTAAAACCTGATACTAAAACAAATTATTTAGTATCATGACTAAACTTGAAAGAATTGTGTAGAGTTGTCAATAGAATTTATTTTACCAATACACAGGATGTATTGGAGAAGAGAAGTAAAAAAATGCAGGAGAATCCATGTCCAGAAAGAGATAGTTTGAGAAAAATTCACAATAATCTCAATAGACATGAGTACAGTCGACCCCCCTATAAGATATAGATACGTTCCAATTTATTAGGAATCCGATTTCTTACAAGTCGTTCCAATCACAGCCCGACACGTGTCAAGTTTACGGACTACGGCTGATTGAAAGGTTTTCTTCCATAAAATTAATCGATTCTACACTAATCCGACTCAACATTTCCAAAATACGTATATTTTTTCATAGTTTTATAGGAATCGTAATTATAGGGACCGTAATTATAGGGGGGTCGACTGTACTTTAATTTTTAAAACAATAAGTTACTATTTCTGACATGATTTAGCATGTACAGTACAGTACTTAAATTAGATGGAACTCCCACACACGACACAATGCATCTCTGATTCTGTGGCTATCTAAGTCTCTAGACCAGCGCTTCTCAAAGTGGGCAATAATGCCTCCTTGTGGGCAATGAGTAAATCTAGGGGCGCTGGAGGCATAGTATTGAACGGCAAAATTGGGGTCACTGAAAGCCGTTCCCTTTCCTCTGTTAAACTGATAAGAGGAAACATTGCATTTAATGGTTTCCAGATGTTGAGAACAATGTACGGTAAGGGCACAAAGTGTGAGATTCATAGAAAAGTTTTCCTAAGAATATTTCCAATCTTTTCTCACACAAGAGAAAATGGGTTGGGGGCGTTGGGTATAACTTTATGGAACAAAGAGGGCGGTGGATCGAAAAAGTTTGGGAATCACTGCTCTAGACCTAACTCCACTGGACTACTGCATGTGTGACTCAATGAAGGATGGGGTGTGGCAAGTGTGGTCAATTTATTGTCTGGATAAGTTAACAAAGAGGATAGGGAAGCATTTTGAAGAAGTGCGCAGGGTTTACTATGGCATACTCAAAAATGTATCAATTCTGACACTTTGAGAAACCACTGTCATGGATTATCATTGAGTGCAATGGACATACACACTGATAATCCACGTAAGAAACTGCAAACATAACTGCTACATTAGTATTTGACATGTCGAATTGTAAAATTGCTGTATCTTTGTTAATATTAATAAATCATCATGCGCTTGCCTAGACTTTCTCATGCATTATCTCCATAATTCATCTCAAGATAAAACCTTTTCTCCTGATATGTTTTATGAGTTGATAGGAGCAACTTTCTGAAATTTGTTAGGCAGAAATACTTGTTAATAAGAAAAAAGTATGTTATTGAAACTGGAACTCAAAATATGCATATGCAAGAATTGCCACTAGAGGTACAGTGTGTAAAACATTACTTTATCATGATAGATCGTGTAAGGTTTACGATGGGGACGGAAAATGTCGACAGGGTCGAGGGGTCGCTAAAATTCGTATGTGGGTGTGATTGGACCACTTGAATGTGTAATTAAATTTTCGCGGCATACTTAAATTATTATGATTCGCAATGAAAAAAAATCGCACGATTTAAATTTGTGTTTGTAAATATTCTATCGCCATATTACTTGCCCCTTAACCTAAATCTTTGTCTATTTTTTTGTAAATTGAATAAAACAGTATTGTTCCTTAAAATAGCAGCAGGCATGGGCATAGCCAAGAATGGCATGGGTGGGCCCGGCTCTCCTTCCCCAGAAAAACACGATTCAAAATTATTAAATCCAATCAATCGATCAATTATTGATATATTTAAGTCACAAACAAGCAAGCATAACGAGATATATTGAAAGCATAAATAATTTCATAGTAAACTGCCGCGCCATCTAGATTTGGTTGCAGTCTTAAGATTGTAGCGTTTATTAATTTGAAACAAAATAATTATTCGCCCATTTAACGAAATTGATAAGTTTTGTTGTTGAATATTACGAATATTAGGATCAATTTTAAACCACAGTTTTCTACATCGTAACACTTAAGTATGTCAAGTGGTCCTGATGAGCATGTGCAAATCTTACCAAAAAGCGCTAAAATGGCAGCACTGCTACACACACACACGCCCTTGCTCCATCTGACCGGCTCAGACGCGCGCGAACCTTTGAAGGAACCATTTGGCTTTATACTACGTACAACGAATAAACTTTCTGCTGATTTTTTAGAAAAATAATAAACATTATTTATTAATACACTATACAATAGAGGTGAGTTGAAGTTTCAAATTTTGTGCTAAATTGTGTAAAGATTTTATACTATTTATTGAATTCTATAAGACGCGATGTAAGTACGTACTGTACTTCCCATAGACCAAATTAACCTGCATTTCATTTGATTTTTTTGCTCATAAACAGCAGCGATATCTTTCTCTTCCCGAAAAAATCCGACAAAGAGAAACAGTATTTTCACTGAAAAAAATCTGTTGTAAACTGAAGGTAATAGGGAATTAGAAATGCTTTACGTTCCATACATGAATTTCTGCTATAAACAAGTAAGTGAAATCGTTGGTTTGCCCACGAACGAAAGTTACTCGAGTTCACTTCATTTAACGTTGTCAAATTTTACGACAAAAATATTTAGCGAATTGTTCAAATTATTATTATTATTTTACCTTGACCGGCACATCTGAAATTCTGAAATCGAAAAATTTCAATTCATATTGAAAATAAGTATTAAATTCCATTGCGTGTAAGATTGGTAGTGCCTGCCCAACATTTACTTCTTCATGCTTTGTTTTCTTTTACATTTTTGACAATTACATTATTACCTAGTAATAATAAGTAAAGTTATTTCAATTGTATAACGGTTCAATAATTGATTCAGTTTAATAACGTATAAGCACTTATATTTTTTTCTAGATATAAGATGTCAACATGAAAAAATTCAAAGACATCAGATGTTTTTTAAAAATAATACTCCAAGAACACGTAGAAGTAACATGAAAGCAGATGCGATAAGACCTACTATTCCTTTCCCGAATCATCAACAAACTCACTAAAGGAATTCTGTCTGGACGATAAAAAGGTGGTTGAAGGTACAAATGATTTAAAAAACTGAACGCTTCACCACCACCAATGTCAGTAACGTCACAGTCAGCCGATTCAGTCGTAGAAGTGGATGGTGACGGAGTCATCGTTACCGATTCCACAAAACCTCTCTAAAAATTTGACAAACCGGATGAACTAGGCACCCTTTAAATTGGATCATCACAACCTGTTATAGATTTCCCAAAAACTAAATTTGGAACAAAATTCAGATCGTTTTCGTCCAGATATTATGAAATATATAATAGCTGGTTGGAATACAGCAAAGAAGATAAAATCTACTGTTTCGTATGCAGAAACCTCAACAAGGGCAATATACGCGACCAAAATGAGAAATTTAAAATGGAAAGTGGTTTTAACAACTGGCAAAATTTAGCAGAAGCGTTATAAAAACACAGAATCATCGCCTCACGCTGAATCAGCCAAATGTATGTGTCTTATCGTCAATCTCTTATAGTTGGAGATGTTCATCAACAACTTATGAAACATCAAGAGGAAGAAATTGTTCAAAACACAGAATACTTGGCTAAACTTACTGATATAATACTGATCCTTGTTCGTCAGGGTTTGTCTTTGAGAGGGCACCGGAAAGACGCATCTTCTAAAAATAGAGGTAATTTCTTGGAAATTGCTCAACTTTTTTGTAAATATGATGACAAATTTTTACTCCACTTTGAAAAACACAACTACTGCAGCCCAGATATCCAGAATGAAATAATTGAAGTGATATCGAACCTCACTCTAGAAGAAATCGTTGAAGAAGCTAAAGCGTTTGGCTTTTTTTCTTTAAGTGTGGACGAGGCCAGATGCTTTAAAGAGGAACAATTGTCAATGACCATAAGATATGCGAACGGTTTAGACATAGTCGAAATGTTTATAGGTTTTACAAATTGTTCCACCTCCAGAGATGCGCAAGGACTGGCTATATTAATTTTGGACACATTAAATAAACACCATTTGGGTGATGTTCCAATTCTTGCACATTCTTATGATGGTGCTAGCGTCATGTCTGGTAAAAATCGAGGCCTACAGGAGATTATCAAAGAAACTTATCCTCACGCAATTTGCATCCATTGCTTAGCACACAAAACTAAATCTCGTGGTTTTTGACTCATGCGCAAATGTTTCGCTAGCAAAGACATTTTTTAACGGCCTCGAAGCTTTGTATATTCACTTCGCACAACCTGGTCATCATGCGAGCCTGCAAAAATTGCAAGGCGCACTCGGAATCCATACCAGCCGTGAAACGGGAAGTCTCAGTACTACCAGATGGAGTTGTCACTACGAAAACTGCCAAGCAGTACTGACAAATTATGAGGCAATTAAATTGACTGGAAAAAGAGATCACTGAGAACCGTGACAAGCACACAGCGGAAGCACTTGGATTGCTAAATATTATTACGAAACTAGAATTCGTCGTGTCCTTACACACATTTCACTCAGTTCTCGCTATAGTGAATGTAGTGAGCGAAATTTTCCAGATTCAAAATGCCACTCTTGGTCAGGCTAGTCACCTCATAACAAATACTATAGATACTTTCGAAGCATGCAGAAATCAGTTCAAAATTTGGACAGACATCGAGCAGTTTTCTGAAAAGCACGAGATTTCACATGTACATGTTAGAGTCTCAAAAAGGAGGCGTCAACAAAAAGAATTTTATACGGAGTCGACTGTGAGCAAAAGCAATACATTAGATTTTTCAGCCGATTCACAACCAGAAGAATACTGGAAGTTCAACGTTTACTACCAAGTGGTAGATAATATCATAGTAAATCTGAAACACCGATTTGAAAATCTACCGTTAGCTCGTGCGGTGGACGCATTTCTTAAATTGGACATGAAGAACGGAGAGGATTTCATTAGTAATTATAAAAAAAATCTTAAGAATTGATACATCAGTCTTGGAAGCTGAAGTGATGGTCACGAAAAACATGATTCAATTAAAAAATGTTGAGACGAATGCTGAAAGTTTGAGAAATCACATTATATAAATTAGGGCAGTACTCTTTTTAAACTTTTTCAAGCAGCAATAGTAGTAGTAGTGAGCTCCGTGGGCTGTGAGCCAAGTTTTTCTGCTATGAGGCGGATAAAAACATGACTTAGAACCCCAATGCTTCAAGAACGATTCTCTCGCATATCACTGCTCAACATAGAGAAAGCCATTGTCAAGGAAAAAATTACAGCCTATTTGCAAAAAGAAATAGAAAGCTGAAGCTAATTTAATTGGATGTAGTATATCCACTAAAAGCCTAGATCTAGATTAAAGACGGTGAATTACACTGAAGAGCAATTGAATTAGGTATAGCTGGCGTTATGCAAATTTTGAGTTGTATGTAAACGTGAAAGTGATTTGCAGATGAGGTAAGCAACAGTTTGAAGATAAGGAGAACTGCTAACGGTATCAGTAATAGTCAGAAACAAAATGGGTAAAAGTAAAGATCTAAGCGCATTTGATCGTGGACAAATCGTTGGGGCCCGACAAATGGGTCACTCCATTTCTGAAGTAGTGGAAACACTGGGATTTTCACGCACCACTGTGTCGAGGATGTACCGTGAGTATGTTGATTCTGGTAAAACCATTGCTGCCAGGGTCAACTGCCGCGGACAACAGCGTGTGGATGAGCGAGGTTGTCGGCAGCTAGCCCGCATTGTAACAGAGGATAGACGGGCCACAGTGCAACAGATCATCCGTCGATTTAACGCTGGTGCACAGCAAGGTGTAAGCTGCTACACCATACAAAATCATCTCCTTTCAATGGAGTACAGGAGTCATCGTCCTACAAAAGTCCCCCTGCTTACTGCACAAAACAGGGCGCAACAATTAGCATGGGCACGGGAACATCGCCAATGGACCGTCGAGACGTGGAGAAATGTTGACTGGAGTGATGAATCAAGATTTACTTTGATGCAGTACATGCCAATGACAGAGTACAGTACGTGTATGCTGTAAACCACATGAAGCAATGGATCCTTCCTGCCAGCAGGGGACTCTTTAAGCTAGCGAAGGTGGCATTCTTGTGTGGAGACTGTTCGCATGGACTGAAATGGGACCCCTGGTACGTGTGACAGCGTTGCTGATAGGTGAATGTTACCGGGATATCCTTGCCCATCTGCTCCCGTTTGTTTGTTCTCGACAGTCTACTACAGAGATTGTCTTTGAACAAGACAATGCACCGTGCCATCGCTCCCGAATTGTATTGGAATGGTTGGATGAACATTCCACAGACCTGACCTCAATCCAATCGAGCACATCTGGTATGCAATTGAGAGAGATGTTCGAGGCTCCGACCACCTTCTATCTAATTTTCGTGATTTGTGGGAGATTATTCAGGACTTGTGGATACGTATGGCTTCCCATCGCTTCCAGTGTCTTGTGGAGTCCATGCCAAGACGAATGGAAGCTGTCATCACACGCTACTAGACAGGTATCCCTAGTTCAATTGCTCTTCAGTGTATATTAAAGAATGGTAAAAAAAATAATTGATTGGTTAATTTTTGTTTAGGCATTGCTAGAGTTTGATATTAATGTTACGAGAACGTTTGATTAAAGGAAGTTTCATATTATATGTGTGTTAAATTATTGTCGATTCTTATGGAAATTCCATTTAATGAACAATAATTTGAAATGATTCGATTTTGTGTCAGGCTGTCCTCTACTAGGCCTCCCCATAACAAAATCCTGGCTACGCCCATGGCAGCAGCATACGACGATGTTAGTTTAATTAATTGCTTTTCTTATGTAAATGAAAATTATTAACATTAAGGCTCAATTTGCATTTAAAAGTGGCATGATAGAAACCTGCCGAATGTCCCACTATTATTAAATTAAAATAATTTAAACTAAATATGGACAATTGGACTATAAATACATTTTTGATTTAAAGAAAATTTCATTTGAAATAAAATAACCCGGTGTTGTACAGATGATTTTGCTTATGAATGTATACTGCGTATATTTTTTAGTATATCTGTACGTTTATTTGCTATAACAACGAAAAACTCGTATAATTCATTAGAAGAGATTTTAATTTTGGCATTCAGTCTTGGAACATTGAAAGAAGCCAAAAGAACATTATTGTTCTTTGGACTTCTTTCGAAAATAATTTATTTAATAACCTTGAAAAATTTTTCGGCACGCCGATTGAAAATCACTAGTACTGTATTTCAGCAAGTTGGCATACCTCGTAAAATCCCTTTTGGACACAATTGCCTGACCAAATAAACAGTACAACTCTCTTAATGTTAACACTGGTCACCAAGTGGATCTTTTCATCAACTCCATTGTTTGTTCAGCCAGTCCCACAGTAGGATGGTCAGATGGTGTAGAATGTAGTCTATGTATAGTACGGCCCAACATATTCAGGATGGACCATCCCTGAAAACTTCATAGAAGTTTTTGACCTATCTGGATTCATTCTCAAGTCATTGAACTATTGGTTGACACTTCCAACAAAGAGCGGAAACAATTCAAAATTGACCCAACAGAATCAATATATTCTATACCCATATGTAAGACTAGCTGTTACCCGCGATTTCTCCCGCGGAGGTTTTGCAAGCAAACCCCATTTATATTCAGTATTTCAACAACCATAGTAATTGTTATATAACACCTACCTCCGAGAATAATGAGAATTGCCGAGAATCAAACAAACTATTTTCAATTTGATCAATTTTCTGGAACGTTTACAAATCGTTCTATAATCGAACCAATAGGCCGCGTTTCTTTATGCAGCGCTCGAGAAGCGCTTTACAGCGAACTCTCTGAAACCCGTTTCTAAATGCAGCGCTGCAATGTAGCGAACCGTTTCTAAACGTTTGCTGCAAGAGGTCGCTGCAGCGAAGATAAAGCAGCTTTTACGTCCGCTACACGTGTAAAGCAAAATGGACGCTTGTGTGTATAATACGATATTATGCTGTAAAAATAAAAAAGTCGAAGTGACTGTTGATAAAAATATTATGGAAAGATTAAGAAGGATTAAATTTTATGAAATGACTCTGAAAGTTATCTAAAGAATAAGAAAATACTATATTTTAAATATAATTATATATCTTTTATCTCTTTACTTTGTTCACATTTATGGAAAGATAAATGCTCGATTCTTTATATCTCTTTATTTAAATATTGTAGTTCTTTAACTAAAGCACTATTTTCGGCTGTAACTGGAATTAAAGGATAGATTACGACGTCCGTGTCTCGCTCGAGCGAAAAGCGTTTCTAAACTACGATGCAGCGAGTGTAGCGATAGCTGCTCGTGACGTCATTTACGCTGCACTCTCGCTGCATAAAGAAACGCAGCCATACGCAATAACAAATTCGAATTTAAAACGGTTCGAACATTTGGTTAAAAAATCGAAATATATAAAAATTTTATAACTAGCAGACCCTGCCACGCCTTGTTGTGGCTGCAAATGTATCTATTATAAATGTATAACACTTCCCCCGTGGGGGGGGGGAATTTTTCGAAAAATCCCTTCTTAGTGTACATTCTGTTGACGTACCCTATTAAAACGCAATCAAAAACGCAAAAAACCGCATCTAAAATAGTATAATAGAAGCAAAGTTCTTCACGGTAAGCCTTAATCCTGTCTCTCTCCCTCGCAAGGGGAATATCGAAAAATCCCTTCTTAGTGTACGTTGTGTACTATTAAAACGCAATCAAAAAACGCAAAAAACCGCATCTAAAATAGTATAAATAGAAGCGGAGTTCTTTACCGTAAGCCTTAATCCTGTTCATCTCCCCCAGTGGGGGGAATTTCGACATGTATATTATATAAAAACACGTGCGTATTCGAATGCAGTGTTGTATCAAAATTTCAAAGGAGTCAGTAGGAACAAACGAACATTACATTTTCATTTATATAGATAGATAGATGATCTGCTTTAGTTCATCCTCACAGAAAAGCAAACTTAGGGCGTCGTACTCGTAGCGCCATCTGTTGGACATAAAAGCCTTAACCTAGATTATATCTTTTAATTTATATGAATGTTTAACGGAATAATATAATATACAGCCTATGTCCACGTTGAAGTTCCGTTCTAAATATTGGTGAAAGAATTTTTGAAATCGGATGAGTAGTTTCTGAGATTACCTGCTGCATACAAACTTACATAGGCTACTTACAAACATTACCTCTTTAAATATTAGTATAGACAATGTCTGAAATGTTATTAATTTAATACACTTAAGTATTTAATGAAGACTAAACGTAACAAAAAATCGCATGTAAAATATTACAATAAAAGCCGTTCTTCCGTTTAAGCCTTAATTGTCTCCCTCTCCCCCGCGGGGGAATTTCGAAAAATCCCTTCTCAGTGAGCGTTTTCATGACGTATTCTGTCTGCCGAATTTCACCTCTTTAGGTTCAGTGGTTTGCTCTGGGCGATGATGAATCAGTGAGTGAGTCAGTCAGTGATTTATCATCGCCCAGAGCAAACCACTGAACCTAAAGAGGTGAAATTCGGCAGACAGAATACGTCATGAAAACGCTCACTAAGAGCCGCGGCAAACTAGCGCTTTGCGAGAGCAAAACGCTAGCAAACATGCGCTAGCACAACCGATGACGTCGAAGGCTCCGCCCCTTTCTTCTTGCCCGCGCTGTTTTTCCTCCGCTAGCGCAGCGATACGAGAGTACGCTCGCTGTTCACAGAATTCAACAACTAGAGCATTTACGCTAGCAAGAGAGAGTGGGGAAGACGGATGACTACATAAACATGTCACATATCGAAAAGAAATAATAGAATTTTATCGATGTACGTAAATTACATGATTAATACATTCAGTATTGAAAGGAAAATAGTATAACCGTTGTATATAAATAGTAATATACAGTACTAGCAGACCCCGCCACGCGTTGTTGTGGCTCAAAATGTATCTATTATAAATGTATAAC